ATTTGCTCTTTCTTATAAAAAATTTTAATTTGCTCTAATGGAGACGAAATAGGCCTTTTTTGAAAATCAATTTCAGTAGCATCTATACTCTTAATATAAAAATGTATATGTTTTTTATTAGATTGTTTTTTGAAATTTATACTCAGATTAATTATAGTACCAATTTTTTTTTAATTCCATCTATAGATCTAACAAAAAAAAGTGAAAACAAGAGATTACGTTTTCAATTCTGGCATTAAAGCTTAATGAAGCTAAGCATTACCATCTTCCTTTAGGATTTAATTGCTTACGGTTGCCTAGTTCTGGATGTTTTTGCGATTCATTCAAATATTATACAAGTCATACTACTTTAATAACTTTACAAACACTGCAAATTTTAGTATGCGAATATGCATATTATACCAAGTATTATACTAGGAATGGATCTAAGTGTTTGTATTGTTTGAAGTTTATTCAAAGTAGTGTTAATGAACAAGTTCAAATAATCTTGGAATGGCTTCAAAAAAATATTGATACATCATCTGAGGATAGTAATAAAGTTATTTCTGAAGATGATAAAAACAACAAAAAGGAAACTGCAAATAATATATTTGTTAAATAGGATTTAGCTATTTAACAATTTTTGTAGCAGTAAATAGTACTCTTCAAAAATCTATTTATAATAAATTGTATAGAAGATTCACAATATGCAATTTATAATTAGCATAATTATACTTTGTGTTTTGGGATAAGCTTATGATTATAAGCTTGATTTTATTTTCAATTAAAAATAGTCTTATTATACAGAAGACTAATTAGAAAAAATACATATTATTTGTTTTATTCAAACAAAATATAAATATTTTTATTAGTTATAAAAAATCATAAATAGTGATTTTTTTATTATAAAAAATAAGAATTTTGCTATTTATCATCACTGGTGATCATCACCGGTGTTGCTATATCTAAAAAACGTACTAAGTAAACGGGATCGGGTTCCCTAAGTAAAAATGTTCAGGACCCCAAAAACCTCACGAAAACTAAGATCGGGCCCTATCGGGCCCTTATAGTAGTTATATATATTATATAAAAAAAAC